GGTGAACGAGTGAATGGGACTACGTGACTTCAGGCAGCAGGCAATCCTATTCTTTGGACCTCAGTTTCCCTTTTTGTAAAGCAAGCCTGTCTCTCGCTCTCTGCCCGAAAAGCCTGAGTTCTGGGCTTGAGATGAGCGCGTCCTGTAGAGCAGACTCCAGGTGGACGTTGAACTGGATCTTCTAGGAGGCCAGGATCCGGCCAGCTCTTGAGTCCGGTCCTCCCCTAGGACCCCGTACACCCAGTCCCAGCGCCGCCCCGCCCAACCTCCCTTTGTTCCCCCAGGCCCCGCCCTCTCCGTGCAGCTCGCTCCCCATTGGTCGGGGGGCGGGCCCTGGGCGACCGGCACCGCTGGGGGCGGGGCGGCGGGCGGGGCCGTGTGCACCTGTGCGGTGTGTTTCCCTGCCGCAGCCCCGCGCCAGCTGCAGCTCCTTGATCCGAGCCGGACCCTGAGCGGGGAACACAGGCTGAAGCGGAGGCGGCGGCCCCGCCCCAGGGCTCCATTGTTGAGGCTGCCGCGGCTCTGTCGGCTGCTCAGCTGCGCTCCAGTCGGCCCAGGCGCCGCGGCGAGGAGCGAGCGCTGCGAAGCGGCGGCTTGAGGTGAGACGGCGCGACGGGCCACGGGGTCTCTGGACCGGGCGGGGGTCTCTGCCCCGGGCGTGGCGGCTCCGAGCTGGGTTCCGCAGGGTCCGAGGTCGGGATCCGGGGTCCTTGCTCCTGGGCTTTGTCTCGGGCTCGGGCGGCACCGGGGGCTTCGCGCCTGCTGCGATACCGGGTGGGCCCGCGCGGGGATCCTGGTCGCCCTGCGGGTGGGGGCCGGTCCCTACTGCTCCTCGGCTCCCCGCGTCTGTCGCGGAGGGGGCTGCATGGACCCGGGCGCTGGCTTCTGCCCGGTCCCCCGCGGCGTGGCTGGTCCCCGCGTGCGGCAGAGGGGGCCCTACTCGTGGGGCGGGGTCCAGGTCACCGCGAGTGGGAGACTCCGCCGCCCTCCCTGCCCTCCCTGGCAGCGAGACTGTTTCGCCAGACTCACCGAGGGGACTGCGCGGACCTTCGGACGAGGGAGTCCGTGACTCTGGGTGGGGGCTCTTTCCCGGCCCCGCATGACGGCTTCCTGAGTGTTTTGTCACCTATATAGGTGGCTGCGTGGACCCGCGCGCGTGGGTCCTGGCCGCCCTGCTAGTGGGGCTGCGCGCCGCTCCGTGGCTCGCCTGGGTCGACCCCGCCTGGGACGCGCGTGTAGTGGGGGTCCGTGCGCGGGGGGCGCGGTTGGTGGGGGCGCACTGCCCCCGCCCCATGGTTTATCCTCTCACTTGCCTGGCGGGAGGAAGCGAGAGGCGCGGGCCCGGAGCTGTCGCGCAGCGGCCACACAGACCGCACTGACCTCTGCCCTGGCTGGCGGGTCCCGGGGGGCCGGTGAGGGGCTGTCACCGCGCGTCCCACCGCCGCGCTTCCTGCTCTGGCCCCGGGCTAGGCTCTGATTGGAGGGAGCAGGGCCCTTCTGCCCCGCGCTTCTTGATTTCTTCCGTTAGTAATGGGAAGAAAAAAAAATCTGGAAAGCCAGATTGAACTTTGTAGCTCTCAGCGCTTGGAGAGTGGAAGAAACTCTCCCAAGAATTTGGCGGGCTGGAAAATGCGTTTCAAGCAGGAGCATCCACACCCACGGAATGAGGCCAAGGCAGTTACAGTTAGAGGTCAGATTTATGAGGGGAGAGCCAGGGTGAGGTCCGTGGGTGGGGAGACCTGATGCTGCCCCTCAGACGTGTATTTCTCAGACACCAAAGAAAGTGGAATCACTCCTTAGTGAATGCTTTCATCAAACTTTTGAAAAACCTGTAATGTCCCAGGAAGGAAAATCGAACTGGACAGTTTTCCCCTTTTAAGAGTGTTAAACGTCCCAGAGACAAACAGCAGAAGGCTCAAGGAGTCCAAATACTCAACCTGAAGTTCTTTCTGAACAAAAGATGGTGTATAAGTAACAGGCATAGGAGACAAAACTGAACTAATGACCGCAGATGTGGCTCCTAGCCCTGTAGCATGTCATGCAGGCCCTTTTGCCTTCTCTGCCCTCCGCTATCCCAGACCCCAACGCTACCGCGCACCTCCAGTCATCAGCTCCTGCCGACCCATTGCTATGAACTCTGTTTCTGTGGCTCCCTTCTCTCTGAAGTTTTGCTTGTTCTCCTGAAGTCCTGGTCTTTAAGAGCTTATGATCTGCAGGGACAGATTGGCTTTGGGCAGTACATAGTTAACTGTAGCACAGCTTGAAAAATGCTCTGATAGAGGTGCGCAGGCAGTTTGTACATGCGGGTAAATGCGAGGTCCTTTTTCAATACCATGAATCCAAGTATTCATGCTATTTTAAATCTGCAATTCTTTGACTCTCCAGAGGGTTTTTAGATTAATTTTTTTTCTATTACTTCCTAGTGTTTGTTGCATAGTTCAGAGTACTTGATTAAAACTTACCAGGTCGGCCGGGGGCGGTGGCTCACGCCTGTAATCCGAGGACTTTGGGAGGTCTAGGCAGGCGGATCGTTCGAGACCAACCTGACCAACATGGTGAAACCCTGTCTCTACTAAAAATACAAAAATTAGTTGGGCTTGGTGGTGGGCGCCTGTAATCGCAGTTCCTCAGGAGGCTGAGGCAGGAGAATAGCTTGAACCCAGGAGGCGGAGGTTGCAGTGAGTGAAATGGCTCCACTGCACTCCAGCCTGGGCCATAAAGTGAGACTTCCTCTCAAAACAAAAACAAAAACAATATACTGGGTCTACCTCCGGCTCTGGAATTCTCCCGGAAGGCCTTCTCTTCTGGGCTTCATTTTTCTCATTTTTGAGGATCATAAACTACATAATTTCCAAGAATTTTTGCCCTACACCTTTAATTCTTTCAAGCAAATATAGCAGAGAAAAATTCTCTTCCCCACAATAGTGTAAATAATGGAGGCCTTTGAAAATGCGGATTCTAAAGTGGAAGTTCTTTTTCTTCTTCCCCTTTGTTTCCTTTTAAACGAGTTTAGTTACATGAGTATATACTTTATCTCAGAGTTAAGGACAAGTATCTATGATGAAAGCTTAAGCAGCTTTTTGGCAATATCTTGCATATTCTTCACAATTGTGTTTTATGTGTAGCATCTTCCCTATATCCAGTTGGTTTGTTTTTTTTCTCGTTAATGGAGTTGTTGAGCTCAGATCTTTTCATGAGCAGTTTGTTGATCTTTTAAGTGTCATGTGAAATACGTTCCAATTTAACATTTTATTTTGGTGAGTAAAATGGGAGTAAATGGAAATTTGAGAGTGCCTTGAGTAGATGTACTTGGCTTTGTGTAATGGTTTGAAGCATAGTTTAAAATTACCACTTGTGGCCGGGTGTGGTAGCTTACACCTGTAATCCCAACACTTTGGGAGGGCAAGGCAGGCAGATCACGAGGTTAGAAGATGGAGACCATCCTGGCTAGCACGGTGAAACCCCGTCTCCACTAAAAATACAAAAAATTAGCTGAATGTGGTGGCACACACCTGTAGTCTCAGCTACTCGGGAGGCTGAGGCAGGAGAATCACTTGAACCCGGGAGGTGGAGCTTGCAGTGAGCCGAGATTGCACCACTGCCACTTCCCAAGCCTTGGTGCGACAGAGTGAGACCTTTCATCTCAAAAAAAAAAAAAAAAATACTACTTGTTAAAAAAAATTGCATCACATGTTGAATGACCTATAAAGGAGTTACAATTCTAAGGAATATGGTAATTAATTCTTTAAAATAGTCAGGCCGGTGCTGTGGTTTACACCTGTAATGCCAGCGCTTTAGGAGGCTAAGGTGCGAGGATCACTTGAGCCCAAGATTAGAAGCTGCAGTGAGCTGTAATCATGCCACTGCACTCCAGTCTGTGTGACGGAGTGAAACCCTTTCTCTAAAA